CTCAGCCTCCTGTCTTTTTGTTAGTGCCATTGTCTGCTCATCATACATCTCAGCAGGTCTCATTACTATTCTTTTGTAAACCTTCCCTTTCACTCTTGCTTCTGTCATAAATCAGCGCTGACACTAGTCTCCATCACCACCACCCTGCTGAATCTCTTCTTCACTTCTCTTGTGCACTGTCGGTTGCTTTTGGATATATTTAAACTCCTCTGACTACTCTTCACAGCTTCACTGTTACACCGGTCTCCTTCTCAAAGGCCAAGTCTGTGTGTGTGTATAGTTAGATTTTAGAGTTTTCAGATGACCTATATCTTATTGTCATATTACCAGTAATAAACTAGTTCTTCTTCCTTTACCTTTGGATTAATTTAGACTTACAGGGAACATTAAGAGATTGTTATGAACATGCAATGAGAGATCTCAAATGTCATGACATTATTAACTTAAACAAACTAAAATGTCTGTGTTCTGCTTTTAGCCCCTGGAGGATTGTGGATGACTGTGGGGGAGCTTTCACCATGGGAGCTATTGGAGGAGGAATATTTCAGGCAGTGAAAGGCTTCAGAAATGCACCCTCGGTAAGTTCAAGGACTGTTTTCTGGCCTCAGTCAAAGCTGACATTCAAGGTACTGTCCTTGGGGTCAGTGTCACACTCAAAGACACTCGATGATAAAGCAGTGTTTCTGTTCCTGTAAACAGGAAATTTTCTTTTTAATCCAACCTGAATTTCAAAGACCCACAATTTTTTCAACTTATGTTATTAGTCATAATCTGAAAATTCTGAATCTTTGGTCTCAGAAATCCTGACCTGACAGTGAATTTCCACTGATGCATGTTTTTTGTCTCTCTTTTTTGTAGGGGATGAGCCACAGAATGAGGGGTAGCTTAACTGCTATCAAGACCAGAGCCCCACAGCTCGGGGGTAAGAACAATTGCTGAACTGTTTCAAAGGTCATTTCTCTTCCTTTGTAAAGAACATGGGCTGTAGTCAGCAGCATGTTGTACATCGTCTGCAGTTCCGATGGTGACAAATTAATCTTGGGAAATATTTCAACTTTGTATATTAAAGTAATTATCGTTTAATTAAATAAGCTGCTATTGGAGCCTGAAGGCATAATCTGTGTGCAGAATTATTAATACTTTATTTGCTGTTGAAGTGTGTTAGTGGTAGAAGTCACTTATGTAAATATGTGACGCGGGTGATTGCTTGACAAAGTGACAAGCGTATCTTCAATGATAACTTCTTCAGCTGATGCAAATCTTTGGCGTGTTGCAGGTAGCTTCGCAGTATGGGGAGGCCTCTTCTCCATGATTGACTGTGGTTTAGTAAAAGTGCGAGGGAAGGAGGATCCATGGAACTCAATAACAAGTGGGGCCATGACAGGAGCTATTCTTGCTGCAAGAAGTGAGTAGTCAACAGAAAACTTGCATACCTCATACAAACAGCAAATGTGCTTTCACATGCATGTCCACATTTATTACAACCCCTCCTGAGTGTGAGATTTTCAGGCTTTTTTCTTCAGTGGCTTCTTGTGGGAGTTTCTTAAAAAAGAAACAAAACCTGCAACAGCTGGTCCAGTAAACCCAGTTTTCAGACTTTCCTGCAATCAGTATGAGGAAATGGAGTTGTTGATTCTTGTAACTGGTCTGCATGTTTTCATTTTTGTCTACTTCTATTTATAGATTCGTTTTTGCATCACTTTCTGGTCATTTTGCTTACTTTACTGGAGCAGAAAAACTTGAAGCTTATTTGTACAGGGACTGTGGGGTCCTCATATAATTCTGAACAACTTTAACAAAAGATTGAATAGACAGAAGTGGTTTACACATTTGCCCGACAATGGTGAGCAGCCGAAAGTAGTTTGAAAACACTTGTGCTATATACCTTTCATTGAAATGGATTATAATAAGTTGTATCCAAAAATAGTGGAATAAAACTGATACAAAAATTGATGGTGGGAACATTTTCTAACAAACAGTACCATCTCAGTCTTGTTGAATATACCTTTTAAGTGCAGAAATGAATGTTTTATGTGATTTTAGTCAATTAATGCCCTTGGTTTGTCCATAGATGGACCGGTAGCCATGTTTGGCTCTGCCGCCATGGGGGGTATCCTGCTGGCATTGATAGAGGGCGCTGGAATCCTGCTTACTAGGTTTGCCTCTTCACAGCTTCCAACTGGTGAGTAATACTTTGGTGATCTTTTTATAAATTCAGTGAAAGAGACTGAAGAGTGTTTTATGTAACAAGCACCCATTGTGATAAATTACTGTACATAAAAGTCTACCTAACCACCAGAAGCCATCAGGCGTGAAAGAATACTTAGATGAAAGATGACATGACTGCGGCAAAGAAAAAAAACACTGAATGTACTGCGACTTCACCTCTTGTTGCCCAGCACCGGATATGTTTATCTTTGTTGACTGTACTTTAGGAGTGTTAGTCAACCCCCAGCTTGCTCACATGCTTTGCCGAAAACAGTATTCAGTCACCACACAGTAGCATGGATTATAAACATCAGGTCTAATATGTGTGATAAATCTCATCTGATTCTTCTACAAATTTTCTAAATTTTACTGCTTGTGTTTGAATTGTGGGACAAAAATTATCAAATTATAAAATTTATTCTGAAACAGTGTTTATCAGTGATGATACTACAGTTATGGCAAAATGCGAATATTTGAAGATTGAGTCAGCTTTCTGAAGAAACTGACTATTTTAATTTGTGACTGTTTTTAAATAATTGGAAAAAAACACTCAGTCGTCATATGTCAGTGAGGACCTTTGGGAAGTCTTTTTGATTCATCAGTTTGCTCTTTTAGACTTTTGGCACCGATCTCACTCTGAGTTTTATTTTTTCCTCCTTAGGACCTCAGTTTGCAGAGGAACCTGCCCCTGCTCCCATGCCCACCTCTCCCTTTGGAGACTACAGACAATATCAGTGAGAGGAAGTCCTCACCTCTTTATCCTCTAGGCCTTTTGTGAATTCCTTGCTGAAGTTAAAAAGAAGAAATGGCGGTGCAGAGTACCACACATCAAACGGTAGAAAGTGCACCCAACTTTATGGACTGTCGGAGAAGTGAACGACAAAACACGTCACCATTTTCCTTCTTTCAGGAGCCATGTACACATCTGCCTTTTGCCATTGTCAGGCTTGTCGTGTGCATCTGTTTCACCTAGCTGTGGTAAAATACAGACAGCTGAGAGTTGTTGTGAGGATGAGATGTGCTTTTCTATTTTGTTTACATACAGTATAAACTGCATGTATCTTGATAGAGAATCTGAGATGTTGAATCTATCAAAAATATGTCACACATGGAACATAATTAATTATATGTACATACAGTAAAGCTTTCACTTATGTTAATCTATATTTGCCTTTTTTGTCATGCTTGGGTTGGCCAGCAACACTTGGTTGGCCTTTTTTTTTTTTTTTTTTAATTTTTTGACTTTATTCAGAGTTATGAAGGCAAGCATCTTACCACAGACACACAGATGCCATTCCTGGAATATTTTAGTTTGTTTTACAGTGATTTATTTATTTTTCAATGGTAAGGAGTTGTGTCAGATTGTTCTATTTTATGTGATGGTGGTTTTTACATTCAGCACAAGTGAGAAAAAGACTGCTAATGACAAACTGAGGCGGACATTTAATATTAAATGGAGAACTCAAGCAAGGGATTGATGTATTCTGTATTAAATCTGTATGACAGATTGTACTCTGGTACATTAAAGAAATAAGTTGTAAAATATGTCTTTTGGAGCTTTATGAATACATTTATGGACTGTAGATTACAAGCTAGAGCAGGATTTTGCTTCTCCACTAGAGGGAACTCCTTGCAAAACAAACAAAAAAAACCCACTTTTGCCCTCTTTGCCTGCCCAGCTTGGTGCAGCTGACTCTTTAAAGATGTATTTACAAAGGACACATAAGGAAGCATTTTCCTCTCACATTCTTGCATGTGCGTGTCACGCACCAGTTATCTCTTCTAGAGCCAGTGCTTCAAATTTACAGGTGGACACCGGATGAGAAACTGGACATTAAAGGGGACAATTATGCAGCTCGCACGGCAAGTGGGCTGTTTGATTTTTAGAACCGTACTCGTGGCAAAGTTTCAGACTTTACTTCTGAAGCTGATAAAATCCCAGAACAATAAATAAAGATAGGGAAAGCAACAGCAGCTTCCCCTAAAAATATTTAATTATAAATGGTCAGGAAATTGTGTAAAATACCCATCATAAGCAACCTTCCCAACCATAATGTTTAGTTTTGGGAAGCCAAAACACATTTTTAACACAGTGACACACAAAGCATGCTTAATCAGTCCCAAAACTTGTTGGTGATTAGTTTACTGTTAATTTGTTGTGTCAGCTGTCAGCTCTACTTTGGCTCAATCATTAAAGGGAGTAGGTCATTTTTATATTAACTGCTTTCAAGGACCTTTTTCCCGTATAAAGTCATCAATAATCATTAAAGTCTTATAATTGATGGCTGGTAAAGTTTTAAGAATCAGCTTTGACTGCTTTTCAATTAAAATAAATTTTAAGTGTCTTCGTGGGGCTCTTGAGACTTGATTTAGACTTTATCTCACACAATTTATAATCTTAGTGAAAAGAAATTATTTTGTACACAAACTTTGTTTTTTATGTTTTGTTTTTTTACATTTGTTTGCATTTTTCACATAACTCACAACCAGAAAGTGCTTGACTTTGAGCACTGCTTAATTGTACAACAAAGGTTATTTGCTATAAAACAGTTATAATGCATGAATCCAGGTTACGTGAGTGTGTTAGTACTTAGCGTTACTGTGCAGTCCGTTATCATGCAAATGACGCGGGGCGCGCGGCCGATGTGTCATGCCCTTTTAAGAAAAATGAGAATCAGCGGGGAGTGACGTCTGCTGCGCGCACGGGCCCGAGGCAAACTGACACTTGCGGAGCGGCGAGGAGACAGCGAGCAAGATACGGTAAGTGCAGAAAGCCAAACTTTACTACGTGCTGAATGCGGTCGAATAATAAGTCATTTGCACGGGACTACGTAGCGCCGACGCTTGCGTGGCCATTAGCGAATTCATCATCACACGCCGTGTGTGTCTGTGTGTGTATGCGTGTGTGTTTTTTCGCCGAATAAAGGAGAGGAATTGCCCGCAAGTACATACCGGAGTGTGCACTCCCATTTTAGTCAAGGCCAGACGGAAGGGCAGGTAACGTTAGCTGTGGCTTTCCCGAGAAAATACACTGCAGTGTGGCTTGATTTAGTGCTTGCCACGTCTGGTTTGGTCGGGAATAGTAAGGTAGGGTTGTTTGAGGCGGGCTTCTGACAGGGTGGTTGTGTTTTGATAGTGCGCAGAGGTCGGGAATGTGTCGGCTAGTTAGCTCGCTTGCTAACGAGCCGCGGCTAGCGGTTTGTGAAGTGTCGGCGGCCCGCAGCAGGCAGTTAAAGCTAGCTAGTTAGCGGCATTTTGCTAACAAGCTTGATAACGGGACTTAGGCTAGTTGCTGGTTTGAAACTAGACTGCTTGCGGACACATGCCGGCCTCACTCGCGTGGATTATAGATTATGCCATTTTAAGGGTTTATCTGTAAGCGGGCTTATGATTTGACCAGAATTTGATTAATGTTGCTGGAGCTCATGTTGTAATAATCACACATCGACAGTGTTGTGCTGTGTGGTTTAGTCCGAGCCACAGATTGCAGGGACTTGGCATGACCTGAAGTGATAAGCATATGCCGCTGCCTTAAGCAAATTAGGTAGATTCACAGTGAGATAACCAAAGAGCTCAAATTACTTTCTCTTGTCTGACTCCAAGCTTCGTGACAGCCTATCGCATATTATTTCTGCTTCAGGGGGAGAGATGTGAAGCAGGAAAGGTGTGTGCCCCATCCTTGAAACTGTAAACACACAGCAGGTCACTTTCCCAGTTAATCGGCCCTTTTTACAAAGAGGCTCACTGCCTCAAGGGTACTTTATTTCACTTTTTCTTTGTTGAAATTACACACTTCCCCGAACCTGACTTTAAAGATGCCATCTATGCCAATAACCCCTACCCTCCCTCTTAGTAAGCAAGCCAGCCTGCTGTCAGGATTCTTGAACAGGAACAGAGACTGGAAGAGGTTATTTTAGTAGGTAGCTACTCCTTTTCCATCCTATCAGCATGAAGCCTTTTTGCGCTTAGGAAAGAGGATGTGGTTACAGGTCAGGGCCCCAGTAACACAGATGCATTCAGCTGACAAGGCTTGTCAGTTACGGGTCTTTGTCATAATTAAGTCACAGAGTTTGTGTGCCTGGCTGCAGTTTAGCTCTGACTCATGGGGGCATTTAAGGTTGTAGGAGATAAGAAAAAAAAGAGAGTTGTATAACTTGATTATTGGATTATTGGGTTATTTTATGTTAGTTCATGTTTTTGTAAGAGAAGAGTGATCGGCGAGTGCAGCTAAAAACTCTTTGACACCTGTCTTTATTTCTTGAATGAAGTTAGTTTAATTGATAACACAAAACAATTTCTTCAGAAAGTATTTTACTCTAGTTACCTGTGAAAACATGGAATTCCCCTTTATTGTAACTCTGGTGGTAAGCGTTTATTTTACAAGCTTGTAAATTCCTAATTTCCTAGCGAGGTTTGTAATTTGGTAGTAATTGCAGGAAATTACAGACAAGTTTAAGTTGATACACTTCAAATTAATTAGTTACAATTAATTGCCAAGCTACTTATACAGCAGGACTTGAAAATCTGTTACAGGTGAAATTTCATGTAAAGACAAACTTAGACCCAACTAAACTAAGATCAAAGGAATGTTTGTAGATATTTTTTGTCAGCAGCCTCTAAAGTTAGTACTTTTTTTTTTTTCTTCTTCTTTTTTCTTTCTTATGTGTAGTGAACTGCGGTTTTTAGTCGAGGTAACATAGGAGCAAGCACTTTTGAACACATAAAAACACCTATTAGCAGAAACTGTTGGAGCAACTGTTATCTCACCCTAAACCACAAGTAGGTTTTTTTTTTTTTGACAGCGTAGCTCATCAACATGTAGTTTGTCAAGCAAGCGAAAACCCACAAGAGTTGGTATTGTGCTGCTAGCGTAACCAGCGGATGTGTGCATGTTCACCATCCGCACTGGGTGGAGGATACGGAGGGCAGCTGTCAGTCATCCCATCCTGCTGAGTCAGTTTGTGTGACAGCTTCGTTGCTGTTGGATTAATCTCAGTAGACCAGGAAATTGTGGATCCTGGGAGGTTGTACTTTAGCTGAACAGCCTCCTGTTCACTAAATTAAGTTTTGCAGTTTATCCAGACTTGCATTCGCTGCATGCTCTTGCTACCGGCGCCACCTAATCCAATTCCCAGCCTTAGATGGATACATACCTTTGGCTGTAGAGGGTGAGTGATGCAGTGATGTCATAGAGGAGCATGTTTTCTGTGGCATGTGGCCTTCTCCCGCTCCTTATTTGCTGGGGTTACTACGAAAGCAGATTAACAGCAGTGGTGTGTTTGTTTTCTTGGGAATGACAGTGTGTAGTTGAGGGCAGTGGAAAGAGACTGGTTTGGTTTTAAAAGCTGATGTCCTTAAATGGCCCTATGTGTATTTTTGCGGGTATTGTGACTGTGTTTGCAGGCTTGTGCTGTGTGTAGTTTCCCTGATATCATGCAGGCAAGGTGTCAGAACGAGAGTATTCTTTTCACTCACTTTAGTACCTTTTTGCAGAACAGGCTGCAGGTAGCTGCAAGTTCAAGGAAAACTCAAAAAGAAACAAAAATTGTGTTGCTGGCAAATTAAACATGAAGCAGAGTCTCTTTGAGCTGTAATCAATATGTTCATTTGGGGTGTGAAAGATGGCACCAAGTCCAGTGATTCTAGCATCAATTAAGACACTCTGAGCTAAGAAATTTGGTCTGTTTCTCAATACTTTATTAGTAGCAGTATTTACTTCTTTTTTTTTTTTTTTTTTTAGTGGTTTTTTGCTCTTCATTTGTATTTGAGCTTCCGTGTTAGTTCACCAGCACTTTGACTCATTGTTTTCATACATAGACTGCCATATGAAAATTTGGGAAAGCAATCAGATTTGAGATTTAAGACCTTTTTATATTTATTTTGGCACAAGTGCAACAAAAGGACAACTACTGATGGTGCACGTGCATAAGTAGCAACACAACTGTAAAATTATTAAATAAATAAAAAATGCGGCACATACATTACTTTACACTAAGATTATTGATATGTTATTGACAGGCTGTGTTCATCAATGTCACGGGTAAAAGCTGTGTTTCAGCTTGTTTGTTTGTGCATGCATGGATGGTTGTGAAGCTCCTGCCTGAAGGTAGGAACTGAAACAAAAAAATATATCAGTGCTGCCAACAGTGCTAATTGGTGAGAAAGTGCCGGCTGGGTGACTGTCACCTATGTTTAGCAGCTGCAGTAGTTTGTCTGGTACTGTTTTCACTGTGAGAATCTCTGTGCGCGAGTCATAATGCTAAAGAAATGTGCTCCCAGTGACAGGTCATGTAGGGGGAACTACCACCAAAACGGTTTTAGGTTCTTTGCCTGGTGTTCAGGACAGGATTTGTCAGTGTGACAGTATCACAACTGTACAAGAAATAGCCACAAAACTTTACAGGTGTGTACACGGTTTTCCCCTGGCTAGAAAAATGAGGTGTCTTTTATTTGTGGCCATTATTTCAAGATAGAGTAAATTGAAATGTTGAAAAATAATTTTATCAGTATGGCATTGAATAATGGAGAAAACCTTTTGATGGGACACTGCAATATTGTATACGAGGGGGAAATCCCTGGTCTGACTAAGATCAAAATGAAGGTTAGGTTTGACGGTTATGGTTTGACCTATATAATATTTAGTAAGAGAGGCCCATGAGGTTGCATTTCGTTCTCAGCTGCATGCCTCTGTTCTGTATTATTTTTATTAATTTGAAATTATGTAAAATAATTTTTTTAGAAGTTGGGTGTGGTCTCAGTACTTATTGGCAGTTCAGTTACTTTTATTTCCAGCACATGATGGCCTGTGACTTTTTTTTTCTTTTTAAATATATATTTGTTTATATGCTGTGGTAAGCACCCATAATTGCAATAAGGGAAACCATACCCTGTCAGATTTGCTTACAGTTAGGTAGGTGATTACAAAACTCCTTTAAATGTCAGTAACTTTAAACTTAACTTCTTTCCAGTATCAGAGAGACTGTGAAAAACCCTGAAACACGGATTGTAGGGCTTAATTTCCATTTTGTTCTGAAAATAGCATCACATTTGTGTGAAAAAGGGGATATGAGATCGGAACTAATGCTAAACTAGTCCAGTAAATGAAAAGATTATTTTTAACTTGCTGAACAGCAAACTCTTAGAGGAAACAAAATTTTGGCGACATCTCCATCTCTTGTGAAATGAGGAATCTCTCTGCTAACGTCAGAAGTAATTCTTACAGTGCTGAAAACTCCAGATGTACATGACAGATTTGGATTCTTTTTTTTGTGCTTTTACTTTCTAATTTGACTTTTGTCTCAACCAGCAGTCCTTGTTCTGCTGTGCAGCCTTGGAGTTCTTGGTGTAGTGGCTCTTGGTCGTGTTGTCCCCCTTCTTGTTAGGGGTCCCTCCAGCTTACAGCACCTCTAAAGAGCAGAAAAAGGACTGCTGTCACCAGCTGCAATTCATAAAGGCAGAGTTGGAGTTTTTTGGAGTTTCTGATTGTGGAAAGAGCTTCTCTTTGGAAAGGCAGATGAATGATATTGAACATCAACCTGTTTACCGAGCCAGGGATTAGTGAGACTTGAGACAAGAAGGGCCAAGGATGGCTAGTTACTAGTAACTGATCCTTCGAAATAAGTCTGGACTGGCTCTTATTCTGGTTTATCTTTTTTTTTTTTTTTTTTTTTTTTTTTTTGAGGGTGATCCACACAGACCTTGTTTTGTTGTCATATTCGGCTTTGCACACTTCTTTTTTTTTTTTTTTTTTTTTTTTTTTACAGTAGTTAATCTGCCTGGTAGTTTGTGGTGCTTTCTTTCCTATTGTCATCTTAATTTTTGTTGGCAGACAGTTTGTAGGTGCATTCCTCCTAACATTTTCGTATCCTACCCGGTGCTGATAATAACATGTTAAATATCCTTGCTAGGCAGCCTGTCCAAATAAAGAAAACTGTCTTTTTAAACCTTTCTACACCTTTTTAAAAACATGTAGTTACTTTATTTGTTGACACATGCGAGGAATGGACCCTTAGAAACAATTGCTTCATATGCACAGGCTGCAAACTGAGGTTTGAAATGGTAAAGATGGGAGCTGGAATTTGACTGCACTTTTTTGGAGGAACACTCATCCTCCATAATGACCTTTGAAGCTGGCACATAATAATCTGACTGCCTCTGTCACAGAGCGAGCCCCTGACGTCATCCGTCTTAGCAAGGGTCAGTCCACAGCATTCACAGTGGAATTGTGATGTGCACATAGCTGACAAGTGAAGTGTAGCCTAAATCTTAGTGTGACATTGTCTGTACCACATTGTATATGTGACACACTGCATGCACTTGACTTTGTGCTTGAATGTTTACATGAGCGTACAGGGGCGCACGTTTGGATAGCACTCGTGCATCCCTGTTCTTTTTCTTCACCGCCCATTGGCTCCTCTCCCTTAATCATGCAAGGAGAACTTCTCTTTGAGTGCAGAGGATTAGAGAATATGAATTATGCACACTCTGGCCTTCATGTCCCACATGGTCCCTGCTTGTGATTGAAGCTGGAGGTCCTTCGTCCTTTGACCACTCCCCCTGAGAGTTTGTTTAGCGTGTGCTATTTAAAAAAAGCAGTGCAGAAGAGGATCATCTGCTTCCAGAGTAGCTGATGATTGGGCTTTTGATGTTTGCAAAAGAGTTGATGATTAATCGAGGCTATATAGTTGTCCTTGGGACCTAATTTCAGCATGCGCTACTATCTGATTTTTATTTATTTTTTTCGTTACAGCCTTGATGTCAACAAGCGGCACTTTTTAGCCCTTGATCCAAAAGCGCTTGGTTCATTAAAACATAAGCTGGCAGTCAGCTGCCGTGTCTTTGAAGAAAACCGATATTAAAATGTTTTAGTGTTCTCTAAATACATCCCTACCACATTTTGTGGTTGTATCAGTAATTTAGAATATTGTTTATATTTCAAGTTGAATGTCTTTTTTTGACTGCAGCTTTGACAATTACTGGAAAATCTCCTCCTATTTAAAATATTGTTTTTTCTAAACCAGCTTTGTTAATGGGGGTTTAATTTCCTCAACTATAATAGACATGTTTGTGTATAAAATGTTGAGAAGTAACAAAGATTTCAGCCAAATAAGGTACCAGACTGATTGCTTTTAAAGTACACAGAGTTTATTCTTATTGCTGTGCGTAGACACTCATCACAGGCCTGTTCTGAGCCAGGAAAAACCCTGAGACACTGCTTGATATGAAGTTAGATCAGTAGATAAGGAATCAGAAATCCCCACATTGCTTAGCTACATCTAAACCCCTTCTGAGCCTGTAGCCCAGCTTGTAGTGACCCAGTTGGCTACCCAATCTGACTTTACGCCACAGTGTGTGCCAGTGATTCGTAACCTCCTTGTTTCTTAAAGGGATATTTTTACTTCACAATTTCCTTCCATCACATTTTCCACTTCCCTCAGCTGTTTTCTGTCATAAGCGAAGGAGACCGCCACCATATTGCTGTTTTATAAAACCAAAAATTGACTCAGTGACTAACAAATCTGTAAGCAGGGTGTGTTTTGGTGTGTGTGAAAGCCAAATGATTGTGTCATTACGAGGAATATCTGCCAGATCAATGTATCATCTCCTCTCTCCTTCAGTTCCCCCCTACACATACACATCACAGCTGGTTTTTGTTAGAGAGGGGGTCACATACTCTTCACCTCCTCCACCCTGAAGCAGCTCCACTTATGGGTGTTCCCTCCATTGTTGTCCTGCTTCTCCTCTATATCCTCCAGGAATGACTAGAATCCTTTCTTTCTGGAGTGGGAAAAACTCAGACCAGACAGGAAAAAAATCCCTTTGATTTGCCTGAAAAGAGATTTCTTTTTTGCTTTTTCCCCACTGTTTTTTCACACCTTTGCTCATTTTGTTTGTCCAATTTTTATTTTTCCCTGTTTGTCCAGTGCAGACTGTTGGGCTGTCCAGTGAAGCAATCCCGCCATGCGTGAATACAAGCTAGTGGTGTTAGGCTCTGGAGGTGTGGGCAAGTCTGCTTTGGTGAGTATGGCCTTCCAATCCTCTTCCTGCATCTGCTGCCTCTATTACTCCTGCCATGTGTTCCCTAAAGACTTTGTAGATAATTGTCAATAAAACAGCAAGAGGCTTTGCTAGCTTTTGAAGGAAAGCATGCGGTGAAACATTTTTAATTATGGAGGTTTATAGAGCACAGATGAAACTGTCTTTTGACTGTTTAAATTTTTTCCTAAAGGATTTATTGAGAACATGCTTGTTTGCTGACAAGGGTTTAATCTATCTCCAAGGCCTGTGTTATCGAAACTAGCTGCCTGTATACATATAATGCATATAATGGTTTTATTGTTAGGGTTTTTGAAATGTTCAAAGAGTGCCAGTCCTAAGCTCATCTGTGTTTACATGTATAGACATCGTAATCTGTTTTTTTTACTTTTCTTAAGGTTGATAGAGAACAGAACCAGAGCAGTGATGTATTTTATTGTCAGGAGACCTCAGATGCCTGTGAAATGTGTCGTATGCTTTGCTCAGCTAATTTCAACCAGGTGTCAGATTAATCCCTCAAACAGGCAGGATTAAGATGTTATCAGGTGAACTTGGTCTACCCCACTAATGTAAATCTGCCGCTCAGCACAGCACTTTTAACACAATCCAAAATTGGACATTGCTGTTTATTTGGAGAGTGACACATTTATCATAATTTAGGCTCTATGTACCATATGAGATTTGAAATAAAGCAACTGATATGCTGATTGAAGATCAGAAACATTGGCATTATAACCATTTTTATGCACAGGCCTAACATGTACTTGGAAAAACTAATATAATTATATATAAAATGTTCATTTTTTTAATACTGCCCAAGTCTGGAAGCCATGCACATCACCACAGATGGCTTTCCTTCTTTGTGATGCTTTGCCAGGCCTTTGGTGCAGCTGACTGTAGTTGCTTGTTTGTGGGGCTTTCTGCCTTTAGTTTTGTCTTCATGTAAATTCCTTTCTTGATTGAGATCAGCTGATTACCTTGACCATTGGAGAATATTTCTGTGTTTTTGTTTTGTTTTTTCAACCTCCAAAACTTCTGGGTTGGTTTTGCAGTGTGGTTAAGATTTCTGGCCATCTGTACTCTGAAACACTGGCCTGTCAATGATCTGAGCTGACAGTATATTCCTATATGCTTCAGAGTTAGCTGCCTCTGTCTTTTGTCATATCACTGGTAAATGGTGAGTGCTATTGGAAGCTACACATCCTAATGTAGTCCTATTGACATCAGCATGTTTTTACAGATGGAGATGTGTGCCTCATTCCAAGCCTTCTCCATATTTATTTCTTCACATTATTCTCTTACTGAGTGATTCATTTCATTGGTCTAAAAAATGCTGTTTCCGCACTGAACTGGCACCTCTGCATTTCTAGGTCTAATCTGGCCTAAACTACTGGATACTATATTCAACATTTTTGAGGCTAAATTGTTTTTACCTTGTTTGCCCTCTGTTTGCTGTCTTGAAGTCTTCTCATTGTGGTAGACTTGGATAATAGACATCTAGAAGAGTGTTAGTACATCCAGCCAAGTGAAGAAAAGGATTGTTTACCATGAAAAGGATCCTGTCTTCCACTATTGTTTTATGTGAATGTGCAGGCCGTTTTTTGTTTTTTTACATTCAAGTAGCAAAGTGTTGATTTGGCCACTCTATTTTTTTTTATTTTGCGCCACTCAATTTTTCTTGCACTGAAAGCTCTTAACTCTCTGCATCTTCTGGGTTCACAGCAATGATTAAACAAGTACAAATCCTAAACTGGGGATCAGCCCTTGTATTTTCTACATTTTACTATTCTAACTGAATATTTTTTGATAAATAAAAAAGTTCAAACAAATGCAGATTTAGAAGTGTGCCAGTAGAATAATTATGTTGTGCTTTTGGTCACAGCTGGGCTTCATGAACATCCTCATTCCTGTCTAGTTGTGATGATCGTAGGTGGACAAAGTGTTAGATGATATGGCACTTTGGCTGCATGCGCTACTCCAGCAGTTTGATGTTGGCTTTCTGTGTGTCTCCCCTTACAGACAGTTCAGTTTGTACAAGGAATCTTTGTGGAAAAATATGACCCTACAATAGAAGACTCATACAGAAAGGTGAGTGTCCCGTGAGAGGCAGAGTGCTGGCTTGAAATGAGCTGATTGTTACCAGCTGCTCCTCAGGTTCACATATTATTGTGCTCGGAAATTTTCTCATTCAACTGCTTCTACTCTGTTACCCTCTCATTCCTAGTTTTCATTCTTTATATTTTCCTGTGACTTCATACTACTGGTGTGGTTGCTTTCATGTTTCCCCTCAGTGTTAGCTGTCTCTTTCAGTCTTCAGTGTATGACCTATGAATATAACCTATGAATTTTGTTTGCTCAGTGACCTGAAATTAAAGATGCTCTTACATGTTTTCTTACAGCAAGTGGAGGTAGATGGACAGCAATGTATGCTTGAAATTCTTGACACAGCCGGCACAGTAAGTAAACTCACTGCCACTGAAATCTTCAAATGCTCAGCTTTGCTGGGCATATGCACTCCTGAATATATATTTTAGTAAATCTAGAGGCGTTTCAGATCGGACAATGCGTTAGGTAGTGTTTGGTAATTTGGCCTCTAGGGAAAACAGCCTTATTTATTTAAAGCTAAATTGTAGTCAGAAAGCAGTCGATTCTCTCTGCACACACTGTTTACCTGCATTCGACCGTGACCTGCTCAGATGCTATTAGTCAACGCTACTCGGGCTCAATCTGGGAGAAAAGAAACAGACTCCTGGCACCAGAAATCTTTTTCCTCGCCTGCAGTTTTTACATATTCATAAATGATATTTGATACAAGATGTGACGGTCTCCCACACTGTGAAACATTAAAACAAGTTGTATTTCACAGATACATTGGGCAATGAGATCTTTAGTAGCTGAAATGACATCCAGTTATGAGCTGACACTGTGATGCCTTTTTATGGTGTATCTATGATTGTTTTAGAATATTTTGTACACCAATCTAACATTAGTCTTATTCTGCCCCCCCACTGGTGTCCTCGTGCAAGAACATTTCTGAAACATTTGTCTGTGTGGGAACTGGCGACTGAGAAACACATCATCTCTTATCCTAGAGATGTGCAGAAACTGTTTTAAGTGTGCGTTTGTCGGTAACAGACCACGTTGCATTGCACTGTGTGTGTGTCTTTGCTGAAAAACCTGACAGACATCCAAGAATTGTAATCCTGCACAATACTGTTTCTTTATCCACTGGGATTTCAACCAATCCACTGTGATTATTCAGTTGATAATAAAATGGTGTTCAGTTTCATCGACGTACACTGGCCTGAAATTGCTTATTTTCTTTTTTTTTTTTCTGTTTCAATTCTGACAAATGGACCAGTCAAAACAAAAGGGACAATCTAGAGCCAACACATCTATGCTTGACAAATGATTTAATGATTATTTAGACTTAACCATCCAGCAAAGTTTGTAATCTTGTCACAGATATGCAATGTAATCGTCAAACTGGTGCAGCGAATAAAAGAGTAAAAAAAGAAAAAACAATAAGTAAAAGTTGGAAGCTGTAGGACAGCGCTCATAGTCTCTCCATCTTTTTTTTCCCCCCTTGTGTAGGAACAGTTCACAGCTATGAGGGACTTGTACATGAAGAATGGCCAAGGCTTTGCCCTGGTATACTCCATCACAGCACAGTCCACCTTCAACGACCTCCAAGACCTGAGAGAACAGATTCTACGAGTAAAGGACACAGAGGATGTAAGTATACTGGCATAAGCGTACAAGCGTTTTATAATTTTATCAGTTTGTGGCTAAAATTTTCTTTAATCACGTAGGCTGTGGAAAGCAGAGTAGTGGCAACGAGTACAGTTAGACCTAAACGCCCTGTGTCCGTGGGCTCAGCCGCCTACATTTTTCAGGGGCCTGATCAGACTGTTGCTATAGATACCATTCAACACTATAATCACTCTGTGTTATGCAATTAATTGCAGATTTGTATTATCTGAACATAACACAATCAGTGTCACGGTGTTATGTTTATAGAGTATAAACAGTGGCAAACTTGTGTACTCTGCATAACTGAGCACTGATTAATATTAACGTTGTGTGGGTATGTCCCTGCGGTTTCATCAGTGTTTGTTGTAGACACCGAGCACTCGTGCTCACGGGGATTTTTCTGTATACTGTGTGGTTTTCTCCATCAGGCCTGCCTCACATCGACGCTGCAAATAAGAGCATGTGTCATCTCCTTATTTTCCAAGCTTGTTGTTTGTCACCAGCACATTTCCAGTTTTCTATATATCTGCTAAATTGTGGGACTGCTGGAGCGAGTAAGCCCTCTATCCCCTCTCTGGTCGAGTCGATAGTGCGTCAGCAGGATCTAAGATGCCCTTTTTTGGTGATCTCTTGAGGGAATGAATGTTACCATAACCCACCCTCTTGGTTTTGCTTCCTTACGTCTCTCTGTTCCCCGTCAGCCATCTGCAAAGCCTCTCTCTAGCCTGGAGCAGAATACCTCTCTTTTCTCTTTTTCTTGCTCCCCTTACTCTATATTTGTGCAATTATTGTGCTGCTTTTATTTGAACTGGCCTTTTCAGCTTCTGTTGCATTCTTCCCCCCCTCTGTTTGATGGCCAGCCTTGTGGTGTTGATGTGGTCTGGCACTCTATGTGGGTGATTGGACTGTCAGGCATGAAGTGCAAGGCGAGCCTCAGCTCATCAAAAACTGGGTTGTGAGACTGTGGTTCTTCATTAGGCTCTCCATGGTTTGGGAGCTGAGGTTAGCCTCAGGCTAACAGATGGATTGCAGGACCAGTGGCTTCTCGACACGCAAGGAAAGAGTTGTTTCTTTTCTTCTGGAAATCTGTTCCCTTTGAAAACATCTTTTAGTTTAAACAGTTCAGCTTATCTGGCTATTATGGCCACTCTGCCAGCTATCAGTCCACTGGTCATTTGTGCCCTTACCTTTGATAGCCATGATATCTGTTTATCCTTTTTTGCCCCTTGCAAGAATGCATGACCAAAGGAAATGCTGGGCATGTTTTCCCTTTTTCTTCCAAGAAGGCAGATTTCTTAGTTTGAGAAATCTTTCAAGTGACTGCAGAGCTAAAGCAGAAACCGTTGATGCTGCTACAGCTGTTCTTATTCTCAGCTCTGACATGCACCATTTACTGCAAAGCGGGTATAATGTACAGATGCACCTAATATCACCAGGCTCAATTAAAAGGCTTTTAATGGTTGTACATTCATTGAACACAGTAGGGTCAAATTCCATCTCTTTAGAAGAGCCATTAGTGGCAAAAATAAAGTAAGTGAGCAGACACTAGTGAATTAAAAGCTCACTTCCTTCATTTCCTTTCACACTTCTTATGTAAGAGAGGTCTTATGACTTTTCCGGGCCACCTCAGTCTCTGCCCGTGTGACTAGGATGGTAGTAATGCCTGACTCCAATGCTTGTGACTCACTGCTCCATTTTAAAGAACTAACTCCATTCATTTTTGTCGTTCTGTACCCGCCTGTTCACTGTTACCCACAATCCAATCTTCGGCGTGCCATTGTGGGCGGGATACGACCTGTCTGTAGCATGTTAATAAAGTCTGAACAGATTCTGTGGGTTGTGTGGATTCTTCAAGTAGGCTAATGCTGCCTTGTGTTCTGCTGACGCTGAACATTTTTTTTCCTTTTTCCCTGCATACCTCCATCCTTTCAGCCATCTCACCATTCTTTTTATCCCAGCTTGACTCAAGAGTTTATGTTAGGAGGGCATACCACTGGTTCTCCCGGGACCCGTGGGAGAAGTGTCATTCAGCAGTTCAGCTTGAGGATTTGTTTAGATATCAAACATCAACCACCAACTTCTGTGGGGTTAATCTAAACATCTCAGTTTCCTGTCGTCTGCCCCATAGAAAGGGCACAAAATACTCACCCTATATCTTACTTTGTCTCAAGAAGCCTGACGGTAGTGCTCCAACAGCAACCTCTGAAAAGAAGACTTACTGGGGGGGAAAGAGTATGGACAAGTGAGCACATGTCAGGATACTGGTATTTTTCTTAAAAATATGTAGCTTTTCCACATCCACAAGACATGTCTGGGGGGCATTTGTAGGTCCTCAGAAGAGAGTGAAGGCAGGATTTCCCATGCATAAATTTATTTGGCGCCACAAATAGACTTTCCTGGCTGATATATTATTGGCGCCTCTTTTGTTGCATGCAGAATTTTTCCATCAGTTGATTCCTAAGCTGTATCACAAACGCAGATATCCCGTGAACGAACCCTGTGACAACATCTTAAAGTCTTCCTCACATCTGAGACGTTTTCTAACATCATACAGTTTTACAGTGATTAGTTTATTAAGCCAAGTTTCAATGTGGAAATGCAGCCCAGGCTGAATGAACACATCCACACACAGACCTCTCTGTGTCATATAATTCCAGAGAGCAGCTGGAGCATGGAATCCAGCTGAAACATTTGAAAATATTCAGGAAGGAAAGCGATGTTATCCCGGTTGGGCGGGGCTGTCATAACTTCCTCCGGGCCAGCATTCTCCCTAGATAGCCGGGCAGGAAACAGCAGGCAGGATGAGACGCATCCCGACACCCTGACTGCCCAGCTCTGCCTACTTTGACAGTTGAGGCTGAAGTTTTGCCCAGAAATACTGTCCTCCTCAGGCTTTTTTTTTTTTTTTTTTTTTTTTTTTTTTCTGTTTTCTTTTCTTTTTGAGGGGACCTTTGGTTATTAAAACATTTGAGAGAACAAAAGAAGCAGCATTGCTGGTTTTAGGAGGTTCCAAAACTGGCTGCACTTAATCTCAGTGACTGTCCCCTCAGCTTTGCTTTTAATTTATTTCCCTTTTAAAGAAACAAAAGTTAAAAATAAACCACCTTCCTCGTCAGTTCCTATTGATTCTTTAATCTCTCTGGACACAGTTGTGTAACCTAAATGATTTTCTTTACTTTCCCACCGGGAAGGAGATCGTTTTTTTATTGATCATCTTTGTGACCCTCCAATTCAGGCCTCAGAGAAAAGCACACTCATTGACTGTTAATACTCATCTCTTCAGTCTTTTACTTGGGTTGTACATTTGTTTGCAGATATTGCTTTTTCACTACCTTTCACTCCAAGAGATTTAACCCCTTTGTTTATATGTGTGTGTGTGGCTGGTGTGTTCAATAAAAAAGCCTGGGCCTTTATACTGTTAACCGTTCCCTGAGGTAGAGTTAAAGGGTGACAAATGGATTAAAACAATCTTGATAATGTTTGTTTTCTAACATTCCCAGCTGCACCTCCCAAAGAAGGGTCCTTTTCTCCCTGCAAGATGGCATTTAAAGGTTTATGGTTAAGTTTACAAAAAGTAAAGTTTTTGTATTAAAATTTTGTATTTAAAGTCTAAAAGAAAAGTTACTGAAGCCTTTTAATGCAAACGTGTTTATAGGAAACACGTTTGCTTTTCTCCTATATCTAATTTCCTCTCTGTAGGGGAAAAATGGCAAAAAGGTATGAACGAAGAAGTTATACAAAGTCAAAAGTAAAAGGAAGGTTCTTCTCCTTCATGAGGAGACTTTGATTCATGGCTCATTATGTACGGTCTTGTGATTCAAGCTGTATACGTGTATCCTGTATACTTCTAATTTATCTGTGTTGGATGTGAACCTGGACTACAGCCTCAGCTGTGAATAATACAAATTGTAGGATTTATATTAAATCCTAAAACAGCCTGCTGACATACAGAGTGGAGTCTAGGTTGTAAGGACAAATGGATTTAGAGGAATCTGAACAGTTTTTCTGAATAAAATGTTAAGTTTTACATTAAAATAAATTTTAAAAATGCATGAACAAGGAATATGTGACCAGACAATGGGGGATAAATCATGTGGGCACAAACAGAACCTGCTTGCTCTTACCTGTCCTCAGGTGCCGATGATCCTTGTAGGGAACAAGTGCGACCTGGAGGATGAGCGTGTGGTGGGGAAGGAGCAGGGCCAGAACCTGGCCAGACAGTGGAACCACTGTGCCTTTTTAGAGTCCTCTGCTAAGTCAAAGATCAACGTCCTTGATGTGAGTACAAACGTCCCCTCCAAAAATGCAACTCTGTATATTTTCAGTTTGTTTTCCATCTCAGTCACAGATGGATGTGTGTACTGCAATCATCAGTAGAATTGTATTTATTTAAGACACATAATTAAGGTTTCTCTGACATGTAGGTAATAATGAGCTTAGATGGATTATACTTCATTCTCTGGGCTACATCCTGTTAAACCTTCTGTCTGCAAACTGTCACACAAATCCATTTAGTGACGAGGCTATGTGTGGGTACTTAAAGGTATAAGGTTTAGAGCTTTATTAACATTTTATCTGTGTTGTCTCTCTCTCTCTCTCTTAGATCTTCTATGACTTGGTCAGACAGATAAATAGGAAAACGCCAGTGGAAAAGAAGAAGGCAAAAAAGAAATCCAACTGCGTTCTGCTTTAAAGACCTTTCTCCCTTCAGCCCCTGCAGCAGCTCTGAGCCAGGTGTGTGTGTGTGTGTGTGTGTTTGTGTCTACAGTTTCAAAACACATTAGTCTTAAATACCCATGCAGCCGGCATCTTCACAACTTCATGATTCATAGACAAGCTGTCAGATTAATTGTTATGTAATGGCTTTGATCTTCCTGCTGTCTCCGATGGTACTGCATACATCAGTTGTCGTTTTAGTCATGTGGGTTTGTTTGCGTGCGGTTAAGTCGAAACAACTTTAACTTTATAGTCTAAATAAACTGTTCACAGTGGTTATTGTACCTGTATAAACTCAAAACATGCAGTTTAGAGATGGAGCCCCCCCTCCAAGTAGCTGGAGGTATAACTGAGGGTTTAAGTAGAGACAATAGATTACACAATTATAGTGTGTGTATTAGCAAGCAACATGAGGTAATGCCTGACCTGGCTCCCTGTGATTCATTTAACTGGTTACAAGAGAGGTTCTTGGTTTAAAACGGTCTGAAGAGGAACTTTTCAACCTAACAGCAGATACACAACACTGATCTGTCGTTAGCTCTTTTACAGTCTACAAACAACTTCACTCGTCATTCAGTGAATATTATTTCATTGATACTGATGACGCATAGGCCCCGTGAATGTCTAGAAATGAAAGCATCCGTGAATTACCCTTCAGACCTGTGAAATGCTTTTTAAATCTTCATTCCTGTAATATGAATGAGTCAGTCTGCGATAACTGGAGATAAATTTCAGACCTCAGCAAGCTGCAGCAGCTCGTTACGTCTGGGAAATCCTGATCTGTCAGCATGTTGTTTCCCAGACGAAGAGCTGCTTCTTTTGAAATCTTTTTCACAGGATTTAAAAAAAACAAAACAACCCATGTTGAGTGGTGTTACGACCCGTCTAGGGCCAGGCAATAACATGAGTGAGGCACCTGCCCCCCAATGACCCAAGCAGCCACAGGAAACAAATCCGTTCTTTATAATGTGATTTATTTATAAAGTGGTAAAGACGGACAACAAAATGGGAGTGTCAACACTTCAGGGTGAGCTGAGGCCAAAATAATAAACAAAAACAAATCAACACAAATCCTGCACCCCTGACCTTACCAAAACAAAGTCAAAAATAAAGACTGAGTCTGACCTCCTTAACTGGAGAAAACTGGTGATCAAAAGAAACGGCAGCTCAACCCTACCCACTCCACTTCCACAACTTTCAAAACAGCACTGCAGCCAGCGGCTGCCACAGGTATACTGCTGGGTCATGAGGAGAAACGCGAGGACCTCTCCCGCCGCGGCACTCCAGCCTCCTTTTAACAGTGGTAATGAGGAAGTCTGAAAACTGTCACGCTAAGTGCTTATTTCTGTGAATCCTTCCAAACAGACAATCTTGTCTGTTAATTTTAGAACGACCGCAGGCAATAATTAAAGTCAATTCGTCAAAGTCTGGACTGCAACATGAGAGCAGATTGGAGCTGCAAAGCATTTTCTGTAAACACTAATGACATGTTTCCTTGTTTCTTCTACAGTTGTATAAATCTTATATGAGATTTTAATAGATGGCCAGCACATTGAGTAAGCTGTTAGCTACTTGCTTTTGCTTCATTGTTAATCAGAATCTGCAAAAACTACTAATTAAGTAAAACTGCGGTCAGAGAGCAGCCATCCTTTTTGTCATATTGCAGGCATACATCTTCAGTAACCTAAAATAAGTCAAAATTTTCATTATGTCCCGATGGAACTGTGCCCATTTAACCCACCTCTCACCAGTTTCAAAAGTTTCCACTACATATGTAGAACGTTTCCTTCAGGTGAAACTCAATCTATTCAGTTGAGGAAATCTTGTAAGAACTTAGGATGTGCAGCCACCCTCACATGGAGATTACTGAATTGGGCCTCATTGTTTCCAAACTTTGAAGGTAGTGAAGCGTAAACTGTTCAGAATGCTTCAAACAAACTAGTTTGCATGATGTGTCATTTGACCTTCTGTCAAAGGCTAAACCTGTTTGCTGAAGTAGCTGTGTGAAAGGTTGAATCTGGATCAGACGCTGTACAAAGGAGATGTAACTGTTAGCTTTTGTGAATTTGCAAATGATGTAACACTCTGCATGAGCTGTTTGGTCTGTGTTTGCCGACAGCACAGGAGCCTATTTTTGAAGCAGTAAATGCCCAAATATTTGCCAGCGTTTGGTTTGGGCTCGGGGACTAAATCTGCTGGTGATCGAAGGGCTGCAGGATGGAACATGAGTGGGTTTTAGGACTAAAGCCTGGGTGTCAGTGAAGCTGATGTGTCCTTGAGCAGGACTCTGACCCTTAACATTTTTTTTTAGGGATCTGTGCTTTTTTTTTTTTTTTCTAAGTAGACAAATAAGTTCTTCACAGTCGGTCAATACATTTCCCTGTCAGTAATAAAGTGGCATTGCATTTCCGCAATAATAAACAGCTGACTTTAATATAATCTCCAAACATGAACTACTTCTCCCGAGTCTGCTTTAATGTTTCCAGATCAGTAGTTGGCTATGTTTTTATTTATATATATATATATATATATATATATATATATATATATTATATATATATATATATATTATATATATATATATATATATATATATATATATATATATATATATATATATATATATACTGAACCCACAAATAAGGAGTACACATCCATAAAGCCTACAGATAAATAATAAAGGACTGACAAGCCTATGGGATATTTTGCCATAAGGATTGGAGCAAAAAACGAATCTAATTGTGAGCAAGAATAAAAAGCTTAAACAGTTTATTCGCTGTTAATTGGTGAATGATATTGTGAAAACAATCAAATGTCATTAAAAGAGCAAAATGGAGCTCATATGGCCTCTTTGTTGTTTGAAATTAAAAAGGGTGTAGCTGAACAAGCGACAGTTTGCACAACTTTTTTTTTTTTTTTTTTTTTCTTCCTCCCTCCAGTATTTTGGTTAGAGTGCAGTCGCTTTTAGAAGCTCTTACAATCTGTTAGCTGGTATTTTGAGCTCTGTTGTCAGAACAAAACCCCAGTGTTGCCAGACCTGACAGGTTCACACAGCCAACAGAGAGATCTTACGTCTTCAGTTACTTTTAACTTCCAGGGTGGAGGAATAAAACTTTGATTTTGCAGATAAAACTGGATTAGTGAAACAGACAGTGCCATTGTAGCCAGCCCAGACAGCAGGGTCGCTGAACCACCCACTGCGTTCCTCCTCTGAACCCATCTGTGTTGGTCAGTTAGAGCTCTAGTGTGTGAGAGCGGGGGCCTCTGTTAGCATGCCCCAGGGTGGCGTCAGCACTCCCAGCACCCCCCACCTCCACCCTACCCGACTCTCACGCCGGCCAGCCCAATGAACCAGCACTAACGGGATTTCAACCTCGCTGTTCCACTGCTCACAGCCCACCAGCTCATATGCTGCGAGAGGGAGAGAGGGGATACAGTGCCAGGCACAGACGGGACGCAGAGAGTTAATGGGACATGTCAGTTTGTGGCTTCCAGCATGTTGACCTGATGAGCTCATGAACTTTGAGTCTCTGGTTTTATCTGTCACTGTATTCACTGGGAGAGGGATATATTTAGGGAGCTGTTAGCTTGCATGGCCCTAGATTCCAAACACCTTAATGAAATAAAGCTATCATTAATATTCTTGAAGGAGCTCTACTATGTGTCTGAAGAGGTCTGTTAATGAATACTTCATCAGAAACCGAGCAACAACATATGGAAGTTATGAAAGCTAACTGTAAGACTAATAAGAAAAACAAGATTTGCTGTAGCCAGAATGTGATTATAGCAACATGAGAGTAGACCGCATGAACACTTGAAATAAGAATGGTTACTGCAGGGCATCTGTTATTGCGCTCATTACCAACTTATTGTCACTGCCTCTCTGAAAGGTAGCTTGGCCTGCAAATGAATCACGAGCCTGCTAGTTGCACTTGTAGCATCATGCATATACTCCTATTATGTTATTTGTGTTCTGTTCTCATTTTGGTGTTTGTGAGTTGAACACCAGCGGCTCTCGGTGTTCGCCCAGACAGACGTTCATTTAATTGCAGCAGCTACACTTAAGCACAGGGCGAGCATGAGCTAAGAGCTCAGACTGTTAATGGAAAGATGGCACCTGAGCAGTGTTTAAACATCCCAAGCAGAAACTCAGCAGACCTCATCACATGACTTTTGGCACACAGACTGATTGAAGTTTTGCTCAGCTGAGAGAAGCCACAAAATGCTGATCACTCGGCTTCCTAAAGCCTTTGGCACTGAAAGTGCCTCTGAGGAACATAGTGCAGGAGTACTTCTCTGTGCTCCCTGTTGGACTGCTGGCTTCACTTTCTGCTCTGAGGTGTGATTTTCCCCTGAGGCTTTGTGTTAGACATTTGATCTCTTTTCCAAGGTCTGGTTAAGATGTAAGAAAAGCGCTAAGAAGTTTAAGAATGAAAAACTTTGTATTAAGGGTCCAAAAAGCAGGTTATAAGTTTTTAATTTTATTTTTAAGCCTTAAAATCCCAGGTTTATACACATCATTCTTGTAATCATTAATGCTTTTACTTTAAAGTGGTATAATATATGCTATATGCCCGTGTATTTTTTTTTCTAATGAAATTGCAACACTTGCAATGCTGCTCAGCAGCCAGTAGAGGGCACTGCCGCCTTAATTTTCTTTCAGAGGGTGATTTGAGTTGGCTATGGAAGGACTGACAGTGTGCTGTCTTGCAGAAATGCTGTAATGAAGAACTGTTGCCCTGATTGGAACGTGCCAGCATTCCAACAGCCCTGACCCTACCCTTCCTCCATCAGCCATAAACGGTGAATCAGCTGACTGAACTGCTCCTATCAAAGATGAGGATGATCTACACCAGAGAGAATGAAAAGAGAAAGACAGTAAGAGAGAGTAGACTCTGGTCTCTCGCCTCCGAGGACCTTCCTCTGTCTCAGTTTGAGTGTGAACGCTGAACGGGAAGCGTCCACCTCTGCACCAACAACAGCACCACAAACTGACGATGTTCTGATTAAAATGCAGCAAAGCCTCTGAAAGTTAAAAAACAAACAAAAAAAAGTCCACGAGCTGCCTACATGGCCAGCCCCTTATTTTTATTTTTTGACAGCTTAACATAAAGAAATAACAGCATTTAAGAAGGAAAACAAAGTTAGAACTTGGATTCAGTATTTTTCATCTTTTTCAATATTGTATTTGAAAGACATGGAAGTTGACCTCTTTAGTTGTATGATTATAAATATTCTTCAAAAACGAGCATGAATAAAGCATCAGTTATTACGTGTAGATGTTTTCAAGTGAAATCAAAGTGGAAAAGTGAGAATTTTTTTTTTTTTATAGCCATACACCTATTCTCCATGCCTGTCATGTCAGTGATGGTAGATCGAGGTCTATGATATGTATTATTATTTTTTTTTATTACATTTTTTTTTCTTTGTTTGCCCTCTTGTTCATGGACTTCTCTTCTGCAGATATCTCTCTCTGATGTGACTTAATTTTATACTCAGTCACCGGGATTTCATAGCTCCCATAATATATTCTAATGCCATTTTTCTTTTTGCATAACAATGCTTCAGAAAAAATGGGTCTTTTATAGAAGAAATATGGGGAAAAATAAGGATTGATTTCTATGTCTCTCGAAGCTGAAATATATTATACTAAACCAACTCTAATAATGCTTCTTGTGTTTTTCTGTCAATAATGTTCCAGCTTTTATGGATTATTAAAGTACATTTTAGTACATTTTCATTATACTGGTCAATGTATTTTTGTGAATTAAACTTTTATTCAAAGTGGATTTGACTTATTTGGGATGAAATATGAGATCACAAGATTTTCTTGTTTTCTGGAATTCCACATTGAACAAAAATAGGAATTGTATGGGAATGTAATGTTGGTGGGAATCAGTTACCCAGTGATTTTGAATGGAGAAACTGTTCAGTGCACTGTTATTCCACATGCTTTGCTGTACTCTCGATGGCCATTAGGTGTCAGTATATGAACAAGAATAACACATGGACACGCTACCTCCTAGAAGCTCTCACAGTAAACCAATGCAAAGCCAGCAGTTCATTTTTAACGTATAATGCTGCTTTTAATCGGATAATGAAACTGCACACAGTGCATCTTCAACATCCTGCTTCACACCAAACACTGTGAGCATTTTTCACACCTTGTACTCTGAGCCTGCTTTTTAATCCCACTTTCTCACCTGAAAGACGGGATTTTCTGTAATCTCTTCTCTCTGATTTCCAGAGCAAAGGAAAGAGCAGAGATATAAATACAACAAACGATGAAAGGTTAAATCGTGCATTGCGTGGAGGTGAAGCAGCATACATGTAGGTTTTTCTAACCTCAAGAAAATAAGTGCGTGCTTGTACTCTTTTGTAATGCTAAGTCATGATTAAATAGTTAACATATAAAATTACAGCCTGACCTGTTTTAACCACAACATGCAACTGTGATCATAATTTTTCAACCATATATATATATATATATATATATATATATATATATATGGAATACAGTATACTTATTTTGACCTACTTTTATATTTGGTCTTTACTTGAGTTGCTTTAACTCTCTTCACTATAAGGCCACTGCCCCATTGTTTGATTGGATGGCCCTCTTAAACAGAAGGCTTAAACATCAGGTGTGTCGGCCGTCTGTGCTCACACCCAGAACCGAGTCCTTAAGATGACTGTATTAAGTTCAACTCCTCTTCGACCAAGCACTTAGAGCAGTCTTAATGTTGGGCTTTTGGTTCAGATTTGTCATGTTTAATAAAAACATCCATTCACTTATAACAGTGGAATGAGGAAAACCAAATAGCATATGATTTCTTAATTATTCTGTAGTGAAAATAGTTGATAAACTAATTTGGTTAGCATTCACTGTGGTACAGTGATTTCTTTCTCCTTAGGCAGATTCTTCATATTAAATGCTTGACAAGTCAACAAGAAGCAGCCAGCTTGCTATTAGTGCAAGTCTCCTTCAAGTTTTTCTTGTAGGAGGGAGGAAAAAAAATGCTGCATCATCTGAGCTCCTTATGCCTCCGAGGGGGATGTCTGTGTCACGCAGAGGAGGATGCTAAAAATCTGCTGGTGAGGACTGTGGTGAAAGGATCAGAGCGTATGACTCACTTCTTCTTGTTTTTGACTCTTATCACCAACACCCCAGCCTTCATCAGGCTCCTAATCCCTTTAGCGGCTGAGAAGCGGAGTAATATCAAAAAAACCACTTTTGCATTCATTACACTCTTATTGAAAGAATGCCCGCTGCCATCCGCCTGACTCTAAACTCTGAGCTTCCTTCAGCTTCTCCGACTCCCCTCGGAAAAGTAAGACTCGTTGGTACCAAGTGGGCTTGAGTAAAATCAAAGCACACCCATGCAAAATGTGATCGTCCTCACAATGTATTACTTTCAGAACCTGGATCAAACGTGGTAACACACCAGTCATTTCATTTAATCTTTGTTCTTTGTAGTATGAGCCACGTGAAGGCTGTACAAAGTGCATTATCTGCTTATGAAACCAGTTGTACCTGCACTTTTATCCTAGAAGGCAACAGCATGGACCACATGCATACAGAGTATAAAAACACTGAAATAGAAATGTTGGAATGTCCTTATTTATCTGAAAAGAACAGCTTTAAAGGTCCTTTAAAGGCGTTAACACGATGCTGACCGCTTTAAATGAGTCAATGTACGTTTGGCCAATCGGCTGGCACGATTCCTGGCACTGCTCTAATATTTCCTTTAAACACTGCTGCATTTGTAAAGCAACGCTTGATGACATTTTCTGCTGCATATTATTGACCGTCGTCTTTTGACTGAAATGATCAGAGTCATTAGTGTCGTTCTTTCACTCCAGTATCATCTCCTGGAGGTCCAAGTTTGCATTTACTGGATGAAGTATGTCAATATGTAGCCTACTTTAGAGATACGCTGAAAGCTTTTAGACATGCACACTCGTCGGATTCTCCCCATTTTATTATTCGTGTTATTTTTACATCAGGTTAACATTTGAGTTTTTAAAAGACGTTATTCCCATAACCATCGACCTTTTTCACATTTGAGATTTGACTTTTCACAGTAGGGAAAGCCCAGGTAAAATTAGCAATGGCCCTGCAAGCATGACCTCCCTTACTTATAATGCAGCACCATAAACACACCTGTACTGTGAATGAGGGCAGTGTGGCATGTAAAGACATCTGCGCCGAATAAGATGTAATTTTGATTAAAGGTTTAGTGTTTCAGCAAATCTCATGTAAACTACCATAAATAAAAGGAAATAAAGCTATAATTGAATTAAAAAAATTCTCCACTTTTGACTGGATTAAGCAAATAGAGGCAATTCTAGCCTAAGCAGTTCTAGCCTTCTGCACTTATTTACCAAATACTTACATGCTGTACATTTATCCTCGGGTGGGTAATGTTTGCAACACTTTGTGTGTTAATGTTTTAAGTCAGAAATACCAAACAGAGAGTCCCACATTATCCTACATAAGCATGATCTTCTCCTACGTTTTACTGGAATCTCGTCACTGATGTATGCACACATATTTATTTAGAGGGAAATCTTTCTATATTGTTTCTGGTCTTAGCTGTAGGCTGCCAACAACAAACAGGTTTGGATGAATCCTTAAAGGGGGACTCCAAACAAAAGCAAGCTCTCATCCACTCAAGGTCCCTGAACCCATTATAAAAGATTATATATTTATTCAGTCGTGTCATCCCTCAGCACCGTATCCCCCACACATGCACACAACACACACACTTTTCCTTTCCCCTTGCCAGATCAATTAACAGATTAGTGGTTGTGTGTGATAGATTGAAGGCGCGAGTCCAGGATATCGTCTCTGTCTAATGCATTTTCTGTAGAGAGAGTGAGCATGAGCTTTACTCTCGGGGGAATATTGACAGGTTGGAGTGCAAGGTTATGTCTGCCCTCCAAGGATTCATCATCTGCCATTTCCTGTCTGTAATATATTTATTTTGATAATGCATATTGATGCTGTTCTGATGTTCAGATAATTCTCTTATATGCCACACGATTTATTGAGAATAAGCCCTTTTATAGCTGTTTTTTTTAATTGTAAGGTTTATTATTTTTGCAATGATGCACACAAAAGATTGTGCAGAAAACTCATAATTTTTTCTTTTTTCTTTACTGATTTGGCGATTATACTTCAGTTACATTGGTTTGCTTCATTCCCTTCCACGCACTGTTAAATGTATAATATTTTCATTAGCACGGGCAGTCTGCCTCACTGTGATTGCAATCACACGGTTTTGTAATTAAATTGAAGGCCTCCAGTTGTCATTATCAGCTGTTTACATAAGAAACAAGAGCCCATGTTTTTACACTGAATTCCTCATGTATTTACACAGGCAGCCGTGCAGCACAGTCACTGTCTTTGTTTACACACACGCTCACAAAAAAATACAGCAGTATATATTTAGCAGCTTTGTGGTATGACTGTTTTGACAGAAGTTTGCCTCTTTTTATTTTGATGCTACTTTTAGTCCAGAGCAGATCACTGGGAGTAGTGTAGAGAGTCTGTTGGTGTGAATATTTTATTTAATATTCACATCATCAAAGTAAAAGGCAGAAAGTCCCACATAATATATCCATCCTCTTCTACTCTCGCGGGGGGCGGAGCCTATCCCATCTGCCTTTGGGCGAGAGGCAGGGTACACCCAGGACAGGTCGCCAGTCTGTCGCAGGTCTAACACATAGAGACAGACAACCATTTGCACTCACAATCACAACTATGGGCTTACCAAGTTACCAGTTAACCTAACCCCACTAACTACATGTCTTTGGACTGTGGGAGGAAGCCAGAGTAGTGGGTGAGAACCATGCAGACACGGGGAGACCATGCAAACTCCACACAGAAAGACCCTGGCCTGATGGTCAGGAACGTCTTGCTGTGAGGCAACACCGTGTTTTACAGATGAATTGCGCCTCTCTCCTGACCTTCTCTGTACATATTGATGATGATTTGAACCAAAAATGTTCAATTTAGGTTCTGTAAGACCTGTTATCACTGATTTTAAGTCCAGTTTTTGTATAATTTATAATTTGACTTCTTTACCCTTCCACTGACACCATCCTTGAAGAGCCTTTGTCGAACAGTAGACCTGTGTGAGGTTTTTGCAGTTTTTTTCTTATTTCTTCAAGACCTTCAGATAGTGTTCATCTGCTGTAGTTTTTCAGGCCTGCCACTTGTTCAAGAATGCACTGCACACCACGCTGAAATATGCAATGTTTTTGGCTAACAACTCTTTAGGAATCTTGATGTTGGTTCAAAAATGTTATCTTATGCCTGAGAAACTGTGACTTTGACATTTTTCATAGATTCACCTAAAGAAATGGGAACAAAATGTATTATTGTGACAAGCTGCGGGTAAAAAAGGCCTAAAGATGCCATTTAAAATTGGTTCTTTGCTAAGTTATCTGTTGTGTATAGTACCAACATTGGTTCATCCCTTGAATGATTCATAGGTGAGTGAGTTAGTTACAGCAAGTGGCTTAAATAACAAAAAATAATCCTATAAAAATGGTCAGATACAAGGACTGGAATGAAAGTGAGTGAAAAAGCAGCCGATGCACAAAGAAAAACTTGTAAAAGAGCTCCAGAAAGCCTTGGAAACAAAATATATATAAATGTGGTGGCTCAAGACTTTTGCACAGCACTGTTTGTATATCAGAAATTCTCCCTCCTGGTCCAGTACCTAAAGTGTATTCTGATCCATGACCTGAACAGTATGTGATGACAAGAGCACAGTGAAAA